AGGAGGGAGGGAGGGCGGCACGCATGCTGCGGGCGTGTAGGGGAGGCCGCCCACAGGCATGGCCAGTGTCCGACCCCGTCATCGGCATTAGCGATAAGGAAAATAGCAGGGCCGCTTTCACGCCACATACGGGGCGCTACCGCCCTTACCCTCCCCCGACTGGCGGCGAGGAGCAACTTCCCACAGCCAGTCCCAATGGCAGGACAGGACGGCGCGAGCACGACGGTTCCACGGCTGCCAGCAGGATGGCCACCGACTCCCCCCGAGGGCATCCTCACGGTCAGTGCCGTATGCCTTTGGATCCCAAGTCTCCTTGTCCCGCGTCCGGCGGCGTCATACACCTTCCTGGGGTCGGGCGGGCTCGCCAAGAGAAATCGGGGGCGCTCTCCGTCTGCTTCGACGTGGATGGGAGCGTGGTCCGGGTGGATGCCAGCGGGTCGTGCGTCTATTACCGAGAAAGCCCGAGGGTAGCCGAGCAGTCCTATCCCCTGGGTGTCTCCACATCCGAGCAGGGAGGCGCTTGGAAGGGCGGGCTAAGTGGCACGGCGCTGCCTAAGGAGCTACGAAGGAAACTGAAGATTGTGTGGAAGCATTTTTTGACGTAGCGGACGGTATGTCGAAAGACAAAGTGCAAAAAAGAGAAATCAAGCGGGCATTGAAGAACAAACAAAAAATACATGAGGCCAGCCTGTCCCGTGGATAACAAGGACTTCTAGATTCAGTATTTCTTCTGCTTCGCAATCCTGGATGTTTTTATTTCAAAGGAAAGAGCCCACTTAGATCTCTAGACAGCGATGTGGCTCGTATAAGCGTGCTCTTCCAAGAATACCTGACAGGGGGATGAAACGCAATAGTGAGCGTTAGGAAGTTTCCGAGTGACAAGCCACACTTTAATCCGCCAGTGCCAGCAGACCATCTCCGCACCCTTCTCAAGAGCTCGAGAGGTCAAGAAATCTCGTGGGGTTTTTGAATTTTGAAATGCCACGCGCTACGCATCCGTGTATTCAGTCCTAGTTTGCTCCCCGGGTGCAGCACACAGCCCACTCCCAGACTTCTTTCAAACGACCCGAACGGGACGGCAAACGCAGGAAGAAAATGCGTCCAAGGCCCTAAGATTATTAATCTTGAATGTAATGGTATGCACCCACGGGTTTTAAAGGCCGGTCGCAGCCCACCCTCCTCTCCGTAATAGACGCATTGCTGCGCCTGGAAAGGAGGGGAACAACGATCCTGCCGTCGTCAAGGGGCCATTGAGACCAAATATCATCATCGGGCACAGGATGTACACAGCTCCAGTGTACAGGATCTTGGTTTGGCACGCAAACTTCGTTGGTCGGAAAACCTCTCTCTCCCGTCGCCTGCGCGCCTAGTTCCTGCCCCTGTCTCCCACTACATCTCACCTTGCGAATTCAAATGCCGTGGATTACAGAAGCGATCACTCAAAGGTACTTTCAAGCTGATAGATTTGGAGAGATAGACCATTATCGCCGTCCTTTCTTCTGTAGATTATTTATGTAAAGAAATTGGACGACTGAAGACTGTAAGGGATAGGAGGAGGTCGAGGATGGCATCATCACAATACAAGAGTGTCTGAAGCGTTAATGACGCCGCCGAGGTAAAGGCCCCAAAGGAATGCTCAGCGACGTAAAGTGAGGGCTTCATATATATGATTGTTGGCATGCAATGGAAGTCAAACTCGATCCATGGACAGAGGGACGAGAGCCTAATGAGTACATGCCGCCACGCGAATCGAACCGACACCACTGACCAAAATCCCATCGCACCGCCCCCACTACCCATGCACGTACCCGTCACACAAATTCTCCCCACCTTCACGCCAGGTGGTTGCTGCGCAAGGTCCTTTCTTGTGTGCGGTGTGTGTGTGTGCGGTGTGTGTGTGTGCGTCGTCCCCTCGCTGGCGTATCGCCCAGCATCGCCATCATTCCTTCCCTCCTTTGCGTGCTTTTGCTTGGACACCCCCCAAGGCTATTCCCCTGCGTGTCCACCATGAGCGCCAGACGTGACGATTGCGCGTACATACTGACGGAAGAACTGTCGTTTGCCAGGCACGGGTCCTTTCTTGTGCGAGGTTTTTAAATCTTCTCGACTACCACCCTCGAGTTCTAGTTCAGTTTACCCCGGCTGCAGTACTCTTCTCCTTGATAACTCCTTCGCAAGAACCCATCGATTGTTGTAGGGCTATATACAGCCGAAGGGTGGTCACCGTCATTTTTTCTTTGTGCCCCTCTTCCATATGTCTCAGTCTCATGCGAACGGCTGGGTCTGTTTCTTTCCCTCCTGTCCTTTCCACTCTTTCTCCCTGCAGTATACATGTTCGAAAGCGGGGTCAGCACGGCTTTCCATCCCGACCTTCCTCACGATGGCGACATGATGGACACGGTCGAGGCGAGCGGAATACCTCTGCGGGACAGCAGGAACCACTCTCTTGCCGCCGAGTTGATCGCCGGGTCCTTGCCACGAATGGATGAAGAGGAAGAGCCTACTCCGGTGAAACGTTTGGACGCGGCTTTCGAGGTGGTCACGCGGGAAAACCCGTTGGACAATGCCCCAGCCTTGCAAGTGGCCTTGCGGGTGCGGCGTTTGCCGCCTGGGGCGGAGGGGAAAGCCTCCCTGCAGATCGTCT